TATATATATAAAGTCACACAAATATTTTTAAAAAAGTACAATGGGGTTCATAGTAAATAAGCAAGTAATCATAGGGAAGTGACAAAGTAAAAATAACATTATATACATATTTTTATACAAGAAAATTAGCCAAATATTCACAAAATTCTTCACCAAGATTCAGATTGTCTCATATACACACACGTGAAAATTAAGTTCAGTAGTAAAAGATAAAAAAAATAAATTAAGCTTTAAGATTTACTTATAAAAACAGTGATGTTTCCTTCAGTTGAACCGTTTTACTGACATTGACCTAAATTATGTGTTAATTTAATTCAGTAATTTAGTTTATTTTTTGTTTTTGTTTGTTTTCTTTCCTTCCCTGCTTCCCGAGCTGTTGCAATTCAGTAAATATTTGGGGGAATACCAAATGCTGAAATGCTTAATCCTGGAGGATCGGCAGAGGAGAAGCTGTGGTTGTTGTGGATTAGCTGCTTGTTTTATCATAACATCTCTGCTTGCATTCTTGAGTTTTGGTCTTTACCAGTCAGGCTGCAAGGGCAGAAATATTGATTTCCTAAAAAAAAAGTAATAAGAGTTACATTTTCACTGAGGTTTCATTTTATAGACTAAAACAGATGTGCCCAAAGTGGGGCCCGCGGGCCAAAATTGGCCCGCCAAGCCATTTGATTTGGCCCACCAGCAGTAGTCCTGGTTACTAGATTGTATTTATGTTAAGATTAAATATAAAATTAATCCATAAAATCCATAAAAAAAGATTAAATATAAAATACAAGTAACTACAAAAGACATTTAGATTTAAGTCCATGTCTTTGCACACCTTATAATATCCCATTTATTCAAATTTAAAATTATGAAAAGCCCCACGAGCCTTTGCTGCCTGAGCATAAGTTGAATTTTCTCCATGTCCATGGGCTGAAAGGAAAAAAAAATGTGGGCAACCACACGGGCTGCTAGCTTAATCATAAAAAATAAAACAACTTCACTTAAGAAGTATTTGCATTTCTTATATTGTTACATTTGGCCCACGGCCCTCAGATTGATTTTGATTTTGGCCCTCTCAGGAAAAATGTTTTTTAATTTTGGCCCTCTCAGGGAAAATGTTTGGGCACCCCTGGACTAAAATGATAAAACCTCCTTTACAATGACTATACAACTCCTCAGTACCACCATGGTAATTAAAGTTGATGAGTTTATGCTCATGAACTAAATTTAGGATTGAAAATTTGAGTTGTTACTTTAAGTTTGTTTTGTAGTAAAGATATAAAGATAAAATAAAAAGTGGATGAACCTTAAGGAACAAATGATTCATGGTGACACTGTATAAAACTTGCATCATTTATGACAGGAGTGGATTAGTGATGAATTTAGCATGTAGACGGTTTTGTTTACTCTATGTATGTGGCAGATCATTTTAATTAAAGGTCTTTGTGATCCAAATAAAAATACTGGTAAAGTATAAAAACGCAAGAAAAAATGAAGAAAGATTATAGAAAAGATGGAGACTTTTATGTTACATAAATGAAAGAAAAACCTGATGTTTGTGTCTCTTTGCTTTCTTTACGCTCTGTTTAGAATTTGGAAAGATTCAAGGAGAGCAAAGAACAATTCCACCAAGCTGCCTCCGAGGCCGAAGCAAACGTCAGGTAAGATGCACACAACTCAACCAAAACCCGCCTAGTTCTCCTAAAAAGTTCTCACTTAAACACACTGCAGAGGGGCTAGTCTGCCAAATATGCACACACGTGCTCCCACTTCTTCTCCTATACCCACTTTAGCAATCACAAACCAATTTGTAGCTACAAAAGTAAGAAGATATTATACCCTGGAGGTTCCCCAACTTGTGCATACAGAATTACATGCACATGGCAGACTAATAAATAGCATGAGGTAGTCATCTTATTTTTTTTAACCAGTTAAATGCGAACAATCTCTGGTGTAAACCGACTTCTGTGATAAATGTTTTAATTGGCTGCTTTAATTAAACTGAAATCAACAATAGCCTGTTTTGCCATCCTCACTTTTCACACTGGACTAATAATGAGCCACAGCTGGAAAAAGAGATCTAATTATTGCCACCGCACACTGTACAACACACAAATTTAATTGGCAACAGAGACCAGTCCTTGACTTGCTGTTAAATGACAAGAGTCCTCAGAAATCACTGAAGTCCACAGAAAAACTGCAAATATTTATCGGCGCAGACGTTGTAAGTGTTCTTCCCCCCGAGGCCAGATTTTTAATTTTTTTTTTTATTTGAGAATTACTTTTCACTCTACATTAATGAAGCTTGTTAATGTTGTTAAACAGGAGTTGTTTTTCTTACATTTTCAATTTAAAACAGAATTGTAACTTATTTGCTGCAAATGTAAAYGTCCTTTTAGATATAAAAATAAAGTTGCCAGTTTTAAATATTATAAACTTTACTTTCTATTTATTGCATGAAAGGAAAATAAGACCACCCTGGTAGTTACATTGAAAAGACAAACCTATTTTTTAATTTGTGTTGATGGAATTTACTTTTTTTATTTGTTTTATGCTTTATATTAAATTTTCTAATATTTTGCTCTTTTGAAAATATTTTGGTAATTTGCATTTATAATGTTTAGGATAATGTTTGTTTAATACAATTTGTCATGTGAAATAGCAGAACTTCATTACAATGTATATTTTTGCAAAATGTGTACTTCTATTACATTTTGCATGTTTTAATATAATGTAAGCATATGCTATACAAAACTATTTTATAGTAAAAAATGTCAAATTAAAAAAYTGTATATAGGAAGATTTTTACTATATAAAATCAGCAGGTAGTGCCACTTCAAATGATTGGTTGTGAAACAAATTTACTAAATAAAAACTACGAATAAAAGTTACCTGTTGAATCTTCCAAAGTAATACATGTTTTCAGTTTAAATTTATTCTAAAGAGCCTTTTAGAACTTTTTCCTGTCCTGATGGTTTTGTTTTTATTGTTTTCATAAACTTAGAACAAAACTATTATTGACCAATAACTATTGAAGGGGTTTTGTGTCTGCTTAATATGATCTACATCTAGCTGTAGATTTATAACTGGAGAAAATTTGACATTATCCATTTATTTATTTAGTCTAGATGCATTTTGTGTGCGAAAGTGTGAGGAAGGCAACCACCTCTGCAAAGTTTAAAGTATCAAAATGAGGCCAAGACGAGCAAGACGGAAGCTCATGTCAGACCGCTCAGGTCGTCATCCAAGGCATTTTAACTAGACCAGCTGTCAGTTACAGTAGTGGGCGAGCAACCTTAATAGCCACCTTTTGTCAGATAGTTTCCCAGTTTGTGTCAAAGGATACTATCCTGCAGCAATTGCTCAGCAAAAAGACTGGAAACCTTGGGAAGTTGAGTCCAGAATCCAAATTAAAGGAAGGACTTTTGCTGCAATTGCAGTAGCTGCTGTTCTGTCAGAGAGAAGTCAATCAAAAACATGTCTAGTTCAGCGAACTTACAATCAGTTAAACACCAAATGTCTACATAGATCTGAACTTTTCACTTGCTCAAGGATGAGTTATATAAACTGTAGGAACCCAATGTTTTTGATGGAAAGGAAAGCTGAGGTTAGATAAGTTTGTCATAAAGGTTATTAAGTATATTTAGTTGATAAAAGTTGTCGAATAATGGCAACACAGAGATTGACAGTTTTCAGAAAATRTGTTTATTGTAGTATGCTGTTCACCATGTTAAGCCTGGTTTATACTTTGAGTTGTACGTCTTTTTCACCCAGAACAGGACCTCGAGCAGCTCAATTCCTTCTGCGTGTTATTTTGTTTAAAATGATATTTTTTGTCTGAAGCCACTTTTTAAAAAGAGCTCAAAGAGCAGCTGGTTTGATCCAGGTCCCAAGAAAGAACGTGAGCGTGCAGCTGGTTGCGTCTTTTTTTTTCGTCCACCGTTAACAAAAATAAATACAAAAATAAAAAGAACATCTCTACTTCACTCAACTTAACAGTAGCTGCGTTTCCACTGACCATGAAAATGCGCAAATTAGAATTTTGAAGATAAATTTGCTCAATGGAAACATGTCAATTTCGAAAAAAATTAGGTTTTTCGACAAAAAGTTTTTGCGCTAGGATGAGGTGGTTTTTCGGCCGTATCGAAATTGGTGTTTTTCGTAAAACTGCAATGGAAACACTTTTTTTTACATCACGGGAATCACGTGACCAACAACCGGATGCTTCTACTGGCGAAAAAGACGACGACAAAAAAGACAACAGGAAGTAGAAATAGTAGTAATATCACAGAAGTAGTAAAAGAAAGTAGTAAACTCACCGACTACAATTTCCCAAAAACACAGCATACGTAGCCGCTCCCAAGTATAAGGGGCTTGTCGCTGGAAAGCCTCGATTAAAAAACACAGACGTCTCCTCTGATGATGAGCGCTAGTGTCGCGGTAGCAACATGCTATGTGTTTACATCCATTGTCGTCATGTTTGTAATGACTTATCGCGAGAACAAACATATTCACGCGTGACACTCAGTTTTTTCGACATTAACAGAATATCGACAAAGTTTTGCGCACATTTGCAATGGAAACGCAGCTAGTGATGTTGAGTGGAAAACACTATCCAGCCATCGTTATTGTAGTTTATATACTTTATATGAGTTCTTGGAGAGCAGAGGGAGGATTTATGAGAATTTATGGCCCACTGTGTCTTCAGCCTGTTTATACTCGGTCAGGAAAAGATGCGCTGAAATTGCGTAATCAGCAACCCGCTGTTTCACGTTTTATTGAAGTATAATCCAGGCTTTATTCCTCAATACTCTGAAAATCTTGTAGGAAATGTAAAAGGTCAGACATAAAATGGCTACACACAGGGTAAGTCTTAAAATGTTAACACATGTAAGTAGGATGATTGTAATTCATCTCTCATATATTAAAATAACTGGCAATGTACGTATATTTTTGAAAATAATTTACCTAATGCCTCTCGCAGCTAGTTGTTTTGTGTTAAAATAAACATTTTGGGTAAAATTGTTGCTCTTTTTTTATCCCGCCATTTCTGTTTATTGTGAAGTTGGTCTTAAATTTCATTTCCAGTGGCATTAAAAAAGTCTTAAAAAGTCTTAGATTTAACTTGCCTTAAGCTGTAGGAACTCTGTACACAGGAAACACTTACGGGATGGTAAATTTCACCAGTGTTTACAAGTTTTTGCAATGTCAGCAGGACATGCTACGTGATAATGACACAGGTTAAAATAAATAAATCAAGTAAGTCTTATTGCTGACTTGGACGTTTTAATTAGAAGATTTTTTTGATTGAATTGGGGCAGAAATCAGAAGATTCTTTTCTTMTTCTGCTACCTTTCATTTAATTAGATTAGTTTTTTTGTTGTATGTTGAATTTATGTTGTTTCGTTTTAAATGAATAAACTTTATAAAAAAATTCAAATAAAAATGTAATTTACCAAGTAAACAACAAATAAAACCTTCATTTGTGGGAGTTATATCATTATATTAGTTTAAACTGGTCTCCAACAATATTATCGTTTATCGCAATAATTTCTGAGACAATTTATCGCCCAGTCAGATTTGTTAAAGTCACAGGTCTAGTTGTGTAATTTCAAGACTGTTCAGTTTGGACCTCAAATGCATGGACTTGCCTGTGCTCCCTTTTAAAATAAGCATTTAAGTCAAAAGATGTGCAAAACGAGCTGATGTTGAAAATATAAAAACTTTTGCAGTGTCGACAGTTACATTTGCAGGTGTTTCCACCTCAGAGTACTTCACAGCATTTATTTTTACAATGCATTAGACTGCTGGACAAAAAGGTGGTACTTTTACACATTTTGGTGACCGCTATAACGATGAAGAAAACGCCAAAATATTAGTTTGTATTGTTGCAACTATGCCCATTTATGTTAACCACTGTAGTGACCTGCGCTGCATTCCTCCTCTATGTTTGCAAGAGACAAAGTGAAGTCTAAGCACTAGTATATAGAAAACCCTTTTTTCCTGCTTGTGGGTGTGATAAGTAAGAAAGGATGCTGGAGGATGATTGAAGGAGTGTACAGATACAAGATAGGGGAGAAGAGCATGTGTACCTTCAGTCAATTGAAAAGCTGTCAAGGTGCAGGCATACAAGCTACAAGCTGGAGATAAGAAGCAACCCTTTCTCTCTCTCTCGCTGTTTTCTACTTCACCTTTCCTGCACTCTCTCTTGTTAACATCTCTCCCTTTCTCTTTTTCACCACAGCACCAGGATTAATCAGACGAGTAGTGGTAAAGCAGTCTAGTCAGGAATTCTGAGCCTCTGCTATGTCAAAAGTCAATTCCTGCCTCGGTAGATAAGACAGCAGCTGTTTACCTGACAGTGTATTTTCATAATTGGACCTCTCCAACAGTTTGCACATCTTGGTTTTTTACAAAGAAGTCTTAAATATTACATTTTRTTGGGCGTATTTAATAGTTAGGGGAAGTTTATTTTTTTGAAATAGGCATAAAAGGAATTAGATTTTTAATTTCTTTATAAAAGACGAACAAAATAGCTTAAAAACAAGATTAGAGGCAGCGAGTTCTAGCTTAGTTTAAGACTGGAAGCAAAGAAAAACTACTATGCAGTTAGAGCTGCCACAAACGATTATTTTAATAATCGATTAATCACCGATTATTTATTCGATTAGTTGACTAATCGGATCATACGTTAATTGAATATAAAACATACAGCTTATCACGTCAGAATGCAGCTGCTATTGTAT